AAGATATACTGGTCCTGAAATAAAGACACAGTGAAGCAATAGAAACACATTACACATAATGTGACTTTGAAAAGTATACATGAATTTGAAAGCTGAATGTGCGCACAGCAAATTGCCACCATAAAACACATCAGACATGTGCAAAGACCTGTGTTAGGTTGAGGTTAGTCTAGACCATGTTGGTTCTCTGTTGCCGTAGTTTGCGGACGACTCCAGGGATGTCCACCACTCCCTCTGTCTCCCTCTGCTCCAGGACATGGTCTATGGCTATGAATGTCCCTGTCTAACCAACACCAGCACTGCAAAGGGGAGAACATATACCAGGGGGTCATTTGCACAGGGTTTTGACTTACTTTGACTTGGTCTACTGGGGGTCTGTCTCTCCCCCAAGTATGACCCGGCATTTATGCACAACACCTTATAAACACTTGGGAATATTGCAATGTTATAGGAAAGGAAAATAAAGTTCCATGCCAGTTGCATCTAACTGCAAGTTCATGGACAACAATGTGTTTGCAGCAACGTAATACACCAGCCACACTATGTGCGACACAGCAATGTCACATTGAACTGAAAGAGAGAGGAAATTCATAATCTCCCAAATGCCGTGTTCTTTGGATTCCATTACCAGTACACCTTATCTACAGTGCACTAGTAGAGGACCTCTGTGGGCCTTGTGGTCTTTCATCAGCAGAGATACAACTTATACTTCAAGTGGGGTATAGGGATGGTATAGAAACACCAAATAGAACGAAATTAGGTGGTTACACAGGAACAAAAAAGTACATCTTATTGGCAGGAGAAGGATACAGGGTGTGTGTATTTCCAAGTTGGTTCAGGCCTCTTTGTTTCTCTTGTACTACATACATAATAATGTTCTGCTATGTTGAATCAAATTTACTGCTCTATAGTACTAGACTTTGCCAGAAACTAACTGATCTACTGCTTGTGCAAAATGTGGACCCAGTACTCTCTCCCTAATACATCAACACTGAGTGTTCTGATGGTGTAGTCAGCGAGGGTGAGTTGGTGAGTGATGGATACGTGGAACGGCCCGAAATCCTGAGACCCAGAGGACGGCCAGTACTGCTCACACTTTGTCTTCTTCCCCTCCACCAGGTTGGTGATCATCACCACTGACGGCACTTTCTCCTGCCACACCATCCTCCAGAAGTCTACTATACTACTGGGGACTGGCCCTGGGATAGGGTATACATCATGTTGCTATAGTACAGTATGTTTATGCACCACATATACACTTTTCAATGTTTACCTTGAGCTGCGATAAACTTCTTTGGTTTGGAGTAAACCCTGAGGGTGGGATTAGATAAGAGTCGTATGTAGACACGTATGTGGTTTATGGTGCCTGCCCACTACAAGCATTGACTTACATCCACATGACTTGCATTGATGTACTCATTAGTGAGGTCACCCAGTGGGCTCAGGATCACACGATTATCATCATCTGCCCATTATATAATGCAGAGCGATCTTCTGTTGTTGTTGAGCTTCAAAACTTACATGGTGAAATATTGGCAAAACGGTTCTTTTTCTTGTTTCGTGGTGTCCTTGCTACGGTAACAGTCTTTCCTTCACCATCACCCAGTGCCTACATACACACAGCAACAAAGTGAAATGGTTACCTGGTATAGAAACTGCCTGTACCTCAAACTCAGTCATAAAAGGCTGGTTGTTGTTGGTGTGTTTCTTCTCCACATGGCTCCCAAACAGAGCCACTGGCAGAGGTACTGGTCTCGCATGAAACTTAGCTGAAGGCTTGGGTACTGGATCAGCCTCTTCCTCCTCCTCCTCTACCTCCTCCTCTTCAGCTAGATAGGAGAGATAGGGTATAGCTTGTACTGTAGCTGGCTGTTGTGAGGGACTGTCAGAGTCAGACTGAAAGTGTGTTTTGACTTCATCTTTCTCAGAAGATAGCTCTCCACCTGCCAGACTCTCTCCAGCTGAGAACAAGATACTAACTAGTCTTAGGCCGTACCAATATAGTATTGACTCACTGGAAAGCTGGTCTAGAGAAATGTCTTGTATATCTCTAGAGTGTGGCGAGGTTCTTCGTTTGTGAGTGACTTTAAAGTGGCCCATTGAGAAAAGACCCTTCAAAGTTGACTTTTTCCTACAGAGCACACACAACATGGTATAATTATGAAAAAACATCCCAAGTGCACATGCGTATACAGAGATCCACCTTCTCATTAGCCAGATAGCAGCAATGATGCACAGAGTGGCTCCAATAAGAAACAGAACAGACACTATCACACCAGCCACTACCCCACCAACATCACTGCCACCTTCTCTAGTGTCTGCTGTGGTAGGGGGAGGAGTTGTCTCAGATTTTGAACTAACGGTATATGTGTGAGTGTAAAATGTTGTGTTGCACACAGTGCAGTAGTGACATATGTACATAAGGTTTGCAGTAAACACGTACCTAAGGTGCTAGCAAGCAAGCTATCATTAGTGAAGGGTCCAGCTGCAATCGTGAATGCAGCTACTTGAATCTCATACTCAGTCGACGGTTCTAATCCAGGGATCATGTACTCCATTGTGCTTCCTCTGGTAGTTAAACTCCGCGAAACTCCATTGTCAAGTTTTTTTAACATTACCACATATCCAGTGATGTTTCCATTATGATGATCACAAGGTACAGGACTCCACATGATAGTAATACTTGTTGAAGACTTCTCTTTCAGTTTGATTTCTTCTGGAGCTGCAGATGGAGCTGAAAAAATGTGAGTCATTAAACAATCAAAAACTATGCAAACCAAACATACCAGCCTGATTAGTTGTCACAATACTAAAAGCACAAGTGGAGTCATTGATGCAGACTGTGATATTGTACTCGGTATACTCTTCCAGAGCAGGTATCATGTACATAGTGCTGTTAGATAAAGGATGAGTTTTGAAACTTTCGCCATTATCTACACATTGACTTGAAGTCCTGTTCCATGTGATTAGCACATCATTCTCCACTTGACCCAATGTTACGCCAATGGTAGTCGAGGCCACACTGACTTCAACTGTGCACACAAAGATCAAGCAAGTGTAGATACACTCGAAGAACTAAACTTACATAGCAACGTTGAAGCGTTCAAGTTTCCAAAAACTCCAACACCGGCATCGTTCTCTGCTGCCACTTGAATCACATATGTTGTCGAAGACTGCAGGTCTGTTAGTGTGTAACTGGTTCCAGTTGTGTTTCCATCCAACTTTGTTTCATTTCCACTCCCCCTTTCCCAATACTTTACTTTATAACCCCTGATATTCCCATTCATATGGGCACAGTCAACAGGCTGCCAACTGATGGTGATGGTGAAGAGGGTCTGGTTTACTGCCACTATGTCTTGTGGTGGGGCAGATGGTGCTGCAGGATAGTTATTTAACATGACGTGTGAAGGTTTGATAGATGGTTTAATGACTGTACCTGCTGGCTGAGTCTGATTAGAAAACACTCTGTGTTTTGCTTCCCAGAGCATTACTTACCACCACTGTGATATTGTATTCACTGTTAGGAACTAATCCAGTGATGCTTAGATTCATTGGATTCACATCATATGTCTGGTCAGTCATGTTAGAGCTTCCGAGGCCATTGTTACAGTGCAAAAATCTCAACCAAGTCACATTGGTCATAATACGATAGATCCCATTTTCTACATAGTTACTAAGGTTACCATCAATGAGAAACCATGGCTAGTAGATACCACATCAATGTTGATACTACCTGGATTGGTAACTTAAAATAGAGAAGATATAATTTTGTGAGACAGAAACTTTTAGCAACAAGGAAAAAATTACCTAAAGTTATATTGCGGGTTGCAATATCGCTTGGGAGATCTGAGACACTAACCACAGAAACACTGTAGCACTGCCCTGCCATCAAGCCTGTTAGTGTTTCAACTGTCGAGGAAGTAATCACTGTGTGATTGATACAGTCAGAGGAGGTGCACTGAGTCCAGAACACTCTGTATCCAGTAATGTTTGCAGACTGGGGAGGTGGACTCCATGATGCATTGATGCTTGTCTCATTATTTTGCTCCAGGGTCAGATTAGTTGGGGGTGATGGAACTGGAAATAGCAAATGAACCAACAATGTGTATTGATCATCCCTATTACCACCGTACTTACCGCTAACTGTGATACTCGATGAGTTACTGGATGGCTTGTTATTGGACACAGTACATGTGTAGTTTCCTCCCAGAGTCCCAGTCACAGTCAGAGTGTGGGTGTACTGTGCAGTCACTGGGTCATTCAACACAGTCTCAGTTTTCCTTGGGTGACAGTGGTGGAGTCTCTGGTCCAAGTGACAGTGGTAGCAGGTCCACCAGTGGAGATACAGGTGAGGATGAGTTGGGAAATACAACTATCCATCTCTAAATTTGTTTTGATCTCAGTTACAGCGATATCACCTAATGAATGACAATAAAAGTTGTTGGTGTTGCTAGCACTTCTCACCTCTCCATTGAGATAGAGTCCAACATATACTGTATCTCGTACACTGATATCAGTGTCATCATGAACTGCATTTGTTGGTATGTCACAGCGATATATTCCAGATGTACCTTCTGTTTGCTATGACCCGATATATTAACTCTTTGAGTATCACGACCCTCATAGATGTCACCAGCGAGAATGGAAGTCGTGTTCCATTAGGAAAGTACCAGTCTCCTCTGTGTGCACCGTCTGTACTACTGCAGCATGTACTCAGATCAGTGTGACACTGAACACTGTCACTACCACTGGCATCTTCCCCACAAGACTGAGGTTCACATAGCTATGGTTTGCCAGAGTTTGTCCATTGAAGCTGACATATGGAAATGTCTGAGCCAACAGACAGTGAATACAAGCAGAGATCAGGATACACACTTCTAAATCCTTTGACATCTGCATTTTAAAAATCTTGGATACTAGGAATGAAGTATAATAATATGCTAACTAAACTGGTTAGCTATATTTTAAACTAGCTCGCTAACTATCCTCGAATAAGAGTCAAGCTCTACACGCCGACAATAGCCTTGCATTTGGCCGACCTTAGCGCGTGCTCTCAGCTATGTAGTCTGGTGCCCACGCGAGCGGCGCTTATTTTTGTGAAAGTCTGAGCACCAGACTAGTGTCTGCGGCCGGCCGGGGGGGCGGGGGTGGCCAGTTTCCTGCGCAGAGTAGCGCCCTTCCCCCGGCGCCCCGCGCACAAGGGTTCACGCATGCGCACGCACTTATACGACTGGCATCATGTCCCACAAGACTGAAGTTCACATAGCTATGGTTTGCCAGAGTTTGTCCATTGAAGCTGACATATGGAAATGTCTGAGCCAACAGACAGTGAACACAGGCAGAGATCAGGATACACACTTCTAAATCCTTTGACAACTGCATAATGTCTCGCAAACTGTAAACGCTAACTAAACCCGGTTGTTCTTCGAGCTAACTAGCTAGCTATCACTCAAATAAGAGTCTAGCTACGCCACAACACGTCGAAAATAGCCTTGGATTTGGCCGATATTAGCGCGAGCCCTCAGCTATAGTCTGGTGCCCACGCGTGGTATACAGTCAACAAGCTAGTACTGTATTACGAGTCTAAAAAGTGACTGATGGGAGAGAATGCTTTTGTGAGCACCAGACTATGACATATCTGTCTGCTACGGTGGCCCGTTGCGCCAGTTGCCTGCGCATTTATAGCTGCGATGACCTTTCGCCGCGCACGAGGGTTCATGCGCACTTACGCTAACAACGCACTTACGCTAACGACACACATCTGCGCATGGTGTAGTTTACAGACTAATGATAGCAACACCATAATATCTGATATGACAATAAAATAAAAACTTATGTTGAGTATGTTTCAAATGAGTCAATGAACCCAAAAGAGCTTCAAAAATTGACTGATACTGTTCCTGTTGAAAAAAGCAACCTGTTTAGTACATGCAAAGAACGTTGAAAGCTATACACATACCACAGTTTGTATGGCTCCAGGTTTCTGAACTCTCATGGCCTTGACCACCTGGAACACATCCACCACTCCCTCTGTCTTACACCTCTCAATGGTGGTGGCCACACCACAGAATATGGCTGATCTACTCACTGTATCACTGTATAGCAATAGAGTTGGATACACCATAATGTTCAGAACTTGGTCACTCTTCCTATTGATCCCCATAACGACAGTAAAGATGAACTCCATGCATGTCTTGTAAATGGCGCCAGTTGTAAAATAATAATTTTGGCCGGGTTGTGTGGACATTGGCTCACACAGAGCCATACAATGACAGTGAATGTCTTCAATTTGTCATAGCTTTTAATGTGCATTAAAATTTTTACGCTCCATGTCAGTAGGAAAATGGGTTGTTGTGGGTGTTATGCCTTGCAGTTGCTTTTTCGTCCATTGACAGCTTTATAATGATCCACTAGCTAAACTCACAGTCCATGGACGACAATGGGGTGGTTCCCAGTCTTCCTCTGGACCTTGGAGACTTCCTCTATGACAGAGACCATGGCATTCACATCCCCACGCCACTGGTAGTCTGAGCTCCACTCTGGGATGTGGAACTGATGGGCTGTGGCAAACTGCAGTTGCACAAAATGTCACAGTGCAGACAACGCAAGGCACCCGAGGTGAAGAAGAATTCTGATGACTTTGTGCTTTTACTGCATCTACCTAATCATAGGAATAATTCAAGAGAACTCCCACTGCATGTAACACTGACAGTACAATTATGCGATGCTTGGTAAAAATCATACTGCACAATAAAACTGTCAAACATGTGTATATACCATGTGTGTATACATGTGCTACTTACAGTAGGGTAAGAGCAGGCTGAGGTATCGGCCAGTGTGTCGAGTGAGCAGAAGAGCTGACACCAGCTTGTGAAATGAAACTCTGGTGCTGAAAGCAATCTGGATGATCTTCTTGAGATCTACAATGGGGCCATAGTTGCTCAGCCCAAGCTTCTCTGTCAGCATGGCTGCGTCTCCTTCAGGTAGGTTTGTTGATGATACCCTCTGGTGTAAAACTGCCAAGTCTACGGAACATAGACAACTGCCTTGAAAAACATTACGGACACAACGGTTCAGTATACTGCGTCACTGCAATCAAAAGCAAAGCTGCACAGACCCATGCTTCAGTACACCAGATAACAGTATTTATATAGAGTGTGGTTGTACCATCGAAATTGATGTCTGGCAACTTTAACTTGAATCTCACTGCGAACCAAAAGTCAATGAAGTTGGTACATTAGTACTACAAAAGCCACATAGTACATACCTACTGGTTGAATTCCACTGACAGCCATGCCGTGACACCACACACTCCCAGACTCCTCATAGCAGTCCAGCAGAGCCAAGTAGACCCCCTCCACCATACTGACCTCAACTCCCGGCTCACGAGACCTCCCATTCAGCAACCTCTCCAAGCTGCTCGCGGCTTCAGTGTCGGACTGGCTGAGGATGATCGACCTGACTTTACTGGCCACTACACCTCGCCTCACGAGATGTGGCAACAGCTGTTCCACACACTTGCATAGCAAGAGATACGGGGATATGGCGACTATCACTTGGTGAGCATAGTCCCTGGCTGCATGGAGGGGCGAGGAGGAATGTGTGTACATGTGGGTGCATTCAGAGCAAATAGGGGCAAATAGGGGGCAGCCACCAAGCCCGGCATACCAAGGTGGTGGACAATGACCAGGTCCTTAAGTCTGGTCAAAACCTGTTTGTCTGTTCCAGTGTGTGCTATGATACTACATCCCAATCTACAACTCAAGGAAGGGCTGTGGCTGATGTCACATGCACATTACTACTTGTGGTAGTGTAGTAAGTGGTGTGGTTCTGGTCGCTGGGTGTGTTGTTTTTGTATGTGTTGTTTGGTGATTTGGTATGTTAATAATTTTTGTTTTGTTGTTGTGAAGTGTTGTGTTGTTTGTCTGGTTTGTTTTGTTGTTGTTCTGTTTGGGTGTGTAGTTGAAGTTAAAGGTTGTTTAATGTGTTGGTTTGTTTGTTTTGTTGTTTGTGTATAAAATGACAGAATCACCGTAATTGTACTAGGCTATGTTAAAGCCTTTGGGAATTGTTGTGTTGGTAATGTTAAATGTTTGGTGTTTTTGGGGCTGTTGTTGTCTGTGTATGAGTGGGTGGTTGTTGTATTCGTCTCGTGTAGGTTGTCTTGGGGAAAGGGTGATATGGAATGAGGGGAAGGGAAAGGGGGGGGAAGGCGGGCTTCGGGGGGGGTGTGGGTCGGGTGTGATGTTGGTTGTGTTGTGCGTTTGTGTAAGGGTGTGGGCTTGGAAAACTTGGTGTGGGGGCTGGTTGTGGTACCTGTGTTTGTTGTGTTGTTTGTGTGTTGTGGGTTGTGGTTGTTGTAATGTTGTTAAAACATGAGAACACATATATCTCAAGGTAAGTACTTTCCCCAGTAAATTGTGACTAAAACGTTGTATGGAGTTATCACCCACAGTACATCTATGACCTGACACCTCAGGTAATGTGTGTATTTAATATCTTGTAATAAAATGTGCATTCCCCCAATAGGGGTCGTGAAGACAAAGTCAGAAAGAAGTTAGAAATAGGTCTTAAATCACCACCACAGGACAGAAGTAGTTGAAGAGGTTGACGAACCTATTTTTATACCATCATTTTATTTATGATGGTCACTAGGAGATGATATTTGCATTATGCCCATTGAGAAATACAGCTAGTGATAGGGCTAATGTAACGTCAATACGACTGGAAAGGGAAGAATTTGGGTAGGGAACTGTGTACTAATATCGTTGGTAATGACAATGTGAGAGGTGTGGGTAATATCTAAAAAGCGTGGATGGTTGTGAAGCAATTATTTGTGCCTTTTAGCCCAATGGCTATAGGCAAGTTTAAGAGGAGAAAGACACCTTGTTACCTAAGACACGCGTTTCCTCTTTTACCTTTGACTTAGAAAGAATGCTCAATTTAATATGTGCCACCCCTGTGTACTTCTTTCAGTTGTTTGAGTGTATTGTTTACGGTTATTTATACTGCCCCCCCAGTCTGTTTTTCGTGTTTTTTATGTCTTTAGGAGTTTGTCTTAGCTTACCAGTGAAAGGAGGGTTCCCAGTACTTTCCTATGGAATGTTTTTCTTACCTGTTGGGCCCGTGAGGCAGTATCCTCACACCCGCCATTATCCCTCCCCTTCCCCTTCCTGTCCTTGTTCCCTTTTTTCCTTTTGGACCTTGTATCCGCTTTTCGCCTGTTTTAATGGTAAGGATTGAGCTTCAGGGGCGAGCCTTGCAGTACTAGGGAATGTAATTGTACGTATGTGAAATGTGTCCCCCCTCCGCTTTGAGAAATATTTACCCATCCACGCCGTATGGTATCCGAGCAGTGTCACTATACTTTTTATACCCGCCCGGTATTGATTCACCCTGGCTCAACTCCTCCCCCTGGTTA